CTAAATCCTGAACCCTAAAAATCCTGAACCCTAAATCCTGAACCCTAAATCCTGAACCCTAAATCCTAAACCCTAAATCCTAAACCCTAAACTGATCCTGCAGGTTGGCAAAGTACAACCAGCTCCTGCGCATTGAGGAGGAACTGGGAGACAGGCCACCTTGGGTTTAGGGTTTAGGGGCTTTAGGGTTTAGGGTTTAGGGGTTGGGTTTAGGGTTTGGGCTGTGGGTTTAGGGTTTGGGGTTTAGGGTTGAGGGCTGAGGGCTCTGCTTGCAGCGACATGGTTGATTTGGAAATCCTTGCATTATCCTTATACACTTTACTACCACAAGCCCCAAGGTATAGAGCACTTGGGGTCGACGTACGTGTGTCAGGTCTGCGGTGTTCGCCTTGAACTTATGCATGCCAGCAGTGTTTGTAGTTGTTTTTTCTCTTTTTTTTTTATCTTTGTGTGGGGCTTTGCAGCTTCATGCAGCACTTGCCATTCCCCTGGTGCCTGTACGTGGCCCTAATTATGTACAGAATCAAGGAATTCAAGGCTCTCCTCTGTGCTCTCGCTTCGGGGGGTCTGTTAGGTTGCGACGAGGTGGGCTTCTTCGGCTTCGTTTTGGGAATGTGCACGCTCACGTTGTGGTAGGTATGTTTCTTCCCGACATTGTGGGAATCCCGTGTGGGGGAATTTGGAACTCGGGGATCACAAGCGAAGAGGTTTCGGATCTAGGGAAGCTGAAGGCAGTTGATGGGGGCCAAGGGAGGGACCACCATCGTGGATTCTTGCGACAGTGATTCGAGGCACGCTGTTCCATGCATCTTAAACCTTGAACATCAAGAGTAATTTGCACAAAGCCTGTGCCTTCATCAGCTTTCTCGCAGCAACTTCAGCCCGCAGTTCCGCAACAGGACTGGTTCACAGCAGGAAGGTCTTGGCTGGTTGAGGGTAGATATGATCTAGCCCTAAGGCCCAAGGACCCAAGAATCCTCCTCCAAAACCTGTACTATAGTTATTGTTACCCAAATCCCAAGTACCCGATTATGGGGTAAGGTTTTTTGGAATGGTTATGCCAAGACTTGCTGTGGTTCTGGGCTGCACTCCCCCGCCCATAACCCCTCCACCCAGAACCCCTACGTCATATCGAGAGGCCTAAACCTTCGGGTCAACACCCCAACCTTAAGCCCTGAAGCTTCAGATCTCGACGTGAGGTGCAGCTATGCTGGCACTGGCTTCCGAAACATTGGTTCTTGGGTGGAAGATGTATTGGTGTTTTGCCTTCCAGCTTGCAAGGTCACATAGACCCTTCCGGAGCAACAGGAGAACTTTTGATAATTCAACGTCGGCAGCTTACTTTTCGATATTCATGATGTCAGTGACGGGTGAGAGCAGCCTATAACCAGACAAGAAGGGGAAGCAACTTCTCGAAGGGTCAGCAAAGTGACGCTCAGCGTGAGATACTCTAAACCCTGAACCCTAAACTCTAAACCCTAAGCCGTGTTTTCTTTATCTTGACTTCCTACAAGCCAGATCCCCTCGGGACCAAATGCGATCATTCTGGTGCAGCGGCTTGAATCTAGAAGGGGGGTGGGGGGGGAGGTTGTGTCGCAGAGCTCCTAAACGCCAAGCCGAAACCCCGTGCAAAATCCGAATTTCCAAGACCTAAGCGCCGAACACCCTGAACCCAACTCCCTGACCTCAGTCTCCTGAACCCCAAATCCAACAGCCCAACTGGGTTTATGGATTTAGGGATTTAGGGGTGTAGGGATTGAGGGATTTGGGGTTTAGGGTCTAAGGTTCAGACTCGTGTTTAAACATGAGTTCAAGGCCTCTCTTCAGACCTAAAGCCCCAACCTTGAACACCAAAAGCCGGATTGTGGTTTGCTGTTAAGGAACTGAACTTAAATTACCGTAGCAAGCAAACCTTAGAGTTTAGGTTTAGGGTTTAGGGTTTATGCAACAAGAATACATTGTCATTTGCCATATACCCATGTTACGGCATCTTGAACCCTAAACCCTACATGGCCATATTATGGTAACTTAAGCCTTAAACCCCAAACGCGATCTACCCGTATTATGGTGACTTCATTTCAGGTCCTTACTTCTCAAAAGCAACCCAGGGCAATGACAGTAGCAATTCTAAAGAGGATTAATAATCGTGACAATATACCTGACAATACCCCGAAACAATAAATCCCTAAATCCCTAAACCCTAGCCCTAAATCTTAAATCCTAAACTCTAAACCCTAAGCCCTAAACCCCAAACCCTAAGCCCTGAACCCCAAACCCTAAATCCTAAAGTCCTATAAACCCTGAATCCTAAACCCCTATAAAACCCTAAATCCTGAACCCCTATAATCCCTAAATCCTAAAGCCCTAAACTCTGATCCCTAAATCCTAAACCCTAGATCCTGAACCCTAAAACCCTAAACTCTGATCCCTAAATCCTGAACCCCTATAAACCCTAAATCCTAAACCTCTATAATCCCTAAATCCTAAACCCCTAAACTCTAAACCCTAAATCCTAAAGTCCAGCAAGCCGAGGCTCCCCGGCTTTCGGCATGAAGCGCAAGCCGTTTCTTGTTTTGCCAGGAGAATTTTTGTCCAGGGGAGTTCGCGGAGCAGAGGGGGAGGGTTTTGAGTTTAGGGGTTTATGGGGTGGTAGGGATTTTTAGGGTTTTTGGTTGAGGGAGTTAAGGTTGAGGGATTTAGTGTTTAGGGTTTCAGGGTTAAGGGATTTAGGGTTTAGGGTCAAAGGATTTAAGGTTTGGGGATTTAGGGTTTAGGATTTACGGGTTTAGGGATTCAGGGTTTAGGGTTTAAGGATTCATAGGGTTTGCGACTAGGGCTCTGGTTTTTGTGGGGGAGCACTGTAGGGGTTGGGAGGTTTGGGCTGTGCCTGCAGGACAAGCCGAGGTGGGACGAGGAATTCCTTCGAGGGAACCAATTCCATCGACGCCAATATGGGGGTTTTCCCAAAATTTTGGGGTCCCTATCATAAGGACTCTAGTATTTTGGGGTCGAGACTGAGGTCCCCCTATTTTGGGAAACTATCATGATATATTTCTGCCTTAACTAAACAAACTCGCAAAAGGGTCCCTAGTCTGCGGAAACTCCCATACGCTGCCTGTGCCCTTTTGAGGTTCTCCCGGTTCAGTAAGACCACCCCACAAAAGATGAGAACACCAGACCAGTTATAGGGTTGAGGGCTAAAGGCTAGAATTCCAGGCTGGTTTTACTGCTGAAGGCTTTGGGTTTCCAGTTTGGGGTTTCGGGTTGATCGTTTGGATGTTCAAGTCCCTCACCTAAAACATCCCTGGAGAAGAGCCCCACCCTGTAGCTCTACCTTCAGAAGCCCCGACTTGACCAAAGGCCCCAAGCCTGAGCAAACACTAGGGGTGGGTAGAACGCCTGCGCAGCTGTAGTCTGCTTATATGAGCTATAGTCTAAACTCCTTAAAGGGGGGTTATATAGGGGATTATATTAGGGATTATTAAGGGGGATACTAGGAGTTTAGACAGTAGCTCATATGTCTTCCAAGTGAAAGCAAGATTAGGGATCCCCTGCCTCCAGCTTGAGATTCTCCGACGCTTAGGTTTGTGGGTGGCAACTGGAAGTGCAACGGCAAGGCCGGTCTGCAAGAGTGATCACATCTGCATGCGATCGTGCTCAGGTTCGTAGGTTGGATTTTGAAGGTCGGCTTCCGCAATCCCCCAGCCTTGTCTGGTCTGTCTAGGTTGAAGGGCAATTGTCCCAGAGGGTAGCAAGAATTTGAAACAAAACTCTGGCAACCTTCAAGCATGGTCATATTTCCTGATCGGCCAAAGCGCTTGGAGATGTTACTGGCATTTAAATCCCATGTCTGGAAACTAAATGAACCTGAAACCCTGACGGCCCTTATGCAGAGCACGAGTTAACTTACAGTCCTTGCAGCATGGCAACGAACATTGAGCAGTACTTCTGGATCATATGGGTGGTTGTCAAAATTATGGTCCCTTTTTGGATCCCTATCATAATACGGCACCTAATATTTAGGGTGCCCAAAAAGGGTCAATAATTTTGAGAACCACCCATATGCGCATCATGCTTCAGGGTGTTGAGGCAGGTTTCATGCTTCGGGGTGTCGAGGCAGGTTCTTGGTAGCAGTTGCTCTTGTTGCGACGAAGGTTCTTGAAAAGGGTCTTAGCCAGAACGGGCAGCCTACATTACAATTTCTAGGGGTGAACTTACTTGGCACATGTGTAACGAGGTACCTAACTAAGCAACTGGGAGGCCTCGCATTTCCTCACTTCACTTTGATGAGAATATGACGCCCCGAAGTGCTCCCCACATCACACATATTTTCCAGCCCCGAATGATGTACGTAGTGCAGAAGCCCAAATGCTCCAGCACGCACTTACTGCGCTTTGAGAATGTCCTCTCGCTTTAATCTTTGGTTTTGCAGGTTCCTGGCGAATTGCAAAGTTTGAGGTTGTTCCAGAGGCCCCTGCTACCTGCAACTGAGGGATTCATTGGAAACCCCTTGGCTCAGAACGGTCGCCCATTTTGAGATTTTGCAGCGACATGTTGCCCTTAATCTGCAGATATCCAAGACGAAGGAGGCCTCCGGCTAAGCTCTAATCCTTAAAGCGTTAGACCCTTGCTCAACCCTAGACCGCTAACCTTCAACCTTTTCCCGTAACCCTTCACCTTTAACCCTAAACTCGTAACACCCGACCCTAGATTCTATGCCCCTCACTCTAAACAAGCCCTGTATGATTAACCCTGAACCCTGAAGACCATAGACTCTTTGGGCTTGCCAGGTTAGCCAGGTGAAGGAACTTCTGACGGCACCTTGTCTGCCCAGAGGGAGGGTTCGTCATTTCGGGTGTAGGCTTAAGGGTGTACGGTTCGAGGTTTCGGATTCAAGGTATGGAGTTTAGGGTTTAGGCTTCAGGGTCCATATAAACAGCAGGAGCCATGTTTGTTTTTGCAAGATTGGATCGTATGTTATGGCTCGATTATGGGGGAACCCAAGCAACATCACCTACTCTTCCTACCCTCCTGCAAACCCTCGACCCGACGAAGCTGTGAACTCTGAGCACGGGGTTCTAATCCCTAAAAGCTCCCTTGATACCTGTCGAAAAAAACCCTTACATACCTCTACATATCACGAGCCAAGTGCCGAACCCCGAAGCCGGTAATGGGACCTTTCATTTTCCTGCTTGTAGCTATCCCGGCCATGATAGCAGTCACAAGCGCTTCCTCTCGGTGATTTGCAGAAGGGCCCACACAAATTCTCCCCCCGGCAAGATCAGCCAATGATGACCGCCAAGCCTGTTAGCCCAGGCGTTCAAGGGTGCTGGCGCCGATGCGAAGTTCGTCGACGTTGCGATTTTCGCGCCAACCCTTCACATTCCAGCGGCGCAGGCTTTGGGGTTTCGGGGTGATGCTAGCTGAGTTTGGCATTGAAGACTTCCTGGTCACTGTAGAGTAGAACTGTACCCACAAAGCCGCTTCCAGGGTCGCCCGCACTGTTGTCAAGCCACATTTCCAAGATGAAATATTCCTGAAACGCACGTGATGCATAGGAGTGTTTAGGACATATAGGGGCGTTCAACATTATATCCCAGCAGTCTCACCCCAGCATCTTTCATTACCAGGTAAGTCTACATTTTGTACCATTCGCCGTTTGGCGTTTTGGGAGTCCCAGCGTCCCTCATGATTGTGTAGCTTTTGCCACTGCCGGCTGATCCATATCACACCCAAATGCCCCCCTATCATTCCCAGGTATCCAGCACATCCTTCTGGGGCGAGGAAGTTTTTGAACCGGGCGCTAAGAATAGTTCAGATATGAGCACATGTATATCCAAACCCCAGCCCCAAGCCCCAACATCCGTTCCCGAAAGCGGGATTTCACAACCCGCCCAACCCTTGTCCGCCTTATCCCTAGCGGCTACAGTGCCGAAGAAAATCCTAGAACAAGTCTTCCGAGCCTCAACTCTGGACTCCTATAGCCCGCAGCGTGCTCCGCAAGGAATCCCTGGCGGGGGATGCCGTCATCAATGTGGGCATTCAGAACTTCAGCAAGACAGGCCGGACTGCAGTGTGTAGGGTTTAGCGTTTAGGGCCTACTTCGGAGTGTGGGGTTCAGATCAATCAGTAAGAAGACGGGCCTCGCATGTCAGCAAGACACGTCAGCCATCAGGGTGTTTGGGGGTCTGACGTATTCCCAAGTAAAGTAGATAGTTTTTTGTTCCGGAAGAGTGCGGGTGGAAGAGAGGATCTTCAGAACTTCAGCGATACATTTAGAACAAAGGGCTCCAGCAGCTAGGGCCAGGTTTTCAGAGAGCACAGTAAGGCAGATGGAGTACAGGAAGCCCAGAATTTCAGCAGTTTCGGGCCAACTCGTCTTCTGAGTTTGCTGTCATCTCGGTAGATAGTTTCCGGCAAGCGCTTCACCATTCCATGTACTTACAGGGATGATGCGGCATGCCCGGCTTTTGATTCTGGTCTCGCAGCAGGGGTTCAAGAACTAGTTTAGGTTCCATGCTTGGTGCGAAGGTTGACCTGTTCAGGCATGCAGGATTTGCGGTTTAGAGGCTCGTGACCATTGGACTGCTACCAGCATCGAAAAAAGGAGCTTTCAGAATGCTTGCATGTTGACTGTTCGACTTCAATGATTGGTGTAAAGACTTTGCATTCTGTGCCGGAATAGCGGTGACAGTGACAGCGGGCGCAAAGGTTGGAACTGAGCTTTTCTGTTGGGCTTAGGGCTCTTGCGCCTTAGGACATTTCGCATGTTCCAAGATGGTGTTTGGATGTAAGTTCAGGGGGCCTGGGGGGGGGGGGGGGGNNCCTGTTTTCTTTGAGCACCTGGGCTTTGAGAGTGTTGTGTTGTGGTGTAGGGTTGGTGGCCTGTGCTCGGGGATTAGCAGTGCTCATGTTACATAGATTTGCAGTAAAAAGCTCTTTGAATGTACGTAGTGCAGTTGCCCCCTAAACCCTGAGCCATCAACGTTATGAGATGGAATGCACATGTTGAATGTCGTTTATCGAGCCTGCCACATTTGGTCTTTTGGTACGTTGAATCAAGGATGGGCCAGGATTTCTTCTGCATAGCTCGTTAGAACGTCGGCAATGACCTGGCAGTAAACGTTCAACGGCTGAACGTCCCAGACGCTTGAACTCAGAAGCCGTTCTTTCTGCGCGCCTCTCCCCTTTAAGAATCTAAACGCGCAACGGCAACCCTTCTTGCGGCTCTCCACTGTTTCAATCAGTCGAGGCAAACAGCTAAATTCTTAAGACTCCAACGCTAAGACATCAAAGCCTTTGCCCAATAATTGAAGCACCCAGCTCCCAAACTGCAAAGGCGAGGGAGCATTCACCGGTGAAGTTTCTGCCGGTCAGGTGGGAGTGCTTGAAAACCTAATGATGGAAATTTGGATTAGAGGTCTAGCCGTGCTGAGAGTTAAGATGTTTATTTGTGCCTGTGTTGTCATTGTGAGGTTTGGCTTTCAACATGTGTTAGGGTAGAGCGAGCTACTGAATGGAGTCATGTTGCTGCTCTTCTAGCGTTCACGAGAATTCTGTAAGCCTTCAACAACATTGTCATCCCCGATGCAGTAAGCCTGGTGCAGCCACACAGTGGATTGTTGAAATTATGGTTCCTTTTACGTCCCCATTGTACGACGGCGGTCCCTAATATTTTGGGTATCAAATTCCGATAATTTCGAATACGCCCCAAGTCCCTGGCATGTGAGTTCCCTCAAGTTTTCGTGAAGTAGGGTCTCTCCGCCACCGAATACCAGACCTTCAGTCCTAGTTAGAACGATAGCTTGTTTTGAGACATTGCATTTGAACCTCATGTGAGCCTAGCTAGCATGATTCTAGAGAACCCCACCACCCAAAGACCCTTGAACACCAACCTTTGGCCCAACCCCTGCGCATAAACTCAGTTTCCATGTTTTTTGTTCTAGTTTTTCTCCCTGATTTACCTCCCTGAGCCCTGAACTCGAAAGCCTAAACCCTGCACACCCTAAACTCGAAACCAAGCCCCCCAACCTCAAGGCTTAGGCCATATCAAAGCCGGTTGCAGATTCTAGGTTCTGACCGGTTTGGGCCTCAGGTAAGGCCCTTGACCCAATAGGCAAACAAAAAACAAGACTGCTTCCAGGGGCCGATCAGGGGCCTCCACAAAAGCACCTCAAAACCCTCCTGAACTTTCCCAGCCAGCCCAGCGGGGCCCTAGTAACGGCCAAAGCCTGTTTCTTTTTTTGCCTTCAGATTCCTACCTGGACCCCAAAGGTATGTAAAATAATGGCCTTTATGGCTCTTATTAGGGGTTTAGGGCTATTATTTTACATACTTTTGGGGTTTAGGTAGTCCTTTTCGCCTTTCAGTCTTTTTAGATATTCCACAGCAGTCCAGGCCTCAGGATGCCACTGTGGAGGTGAAATAAGTGTAATGGACTGATGTTAGGTCCTACGGTGGATACTAACTAAAAACTCTTGCATGACCCTAAGTACCTAGTACCGTGGGAATTTTTGTATTCTGGTATAGTAAGGTCATGCAGGATTTTTGAATATCAACAGTATAAGCCCAACCAATAGGAATTGGTTTGGATGGTTGCACGCCTGAGACGGCGTGGACTGGGTGAACGTGTGATTTACATGGCTAGCTGCCATCGGGCCATAGCAGAATGTCGCCCAGCATGATGCGCTCAAAGCGAGTGTGTACCTAGCGACACTTGCTGCTCCAGCAGCAGTCATAGCAAACTAAACCCGAACCCTCTAATGCATGCCCCGTGATCAAATTGCATAGGTGGCCGATGCGGGCATCAAGTGGCTCAATGAAATTAGATGGTGGGCAACAGTTTACGCTGAATAAGCCGAAAAGGTGAAGGGGCAGAGAGTAACAGTATATTGTTGAGGTTCAGAGTCAAGCACGCTTGAGTGGGTGTTCAACAGTGTTGGGGTTCAGGTAGTGCCCAAAATGGCAGCTTTGAGGCTTCTCTTGGTGGTTTGATTTGACACCCTTGACGCCTGTACCCGGGCCCCGTTCAGAATTGAGGCTGAACGATTTGTCCAGGGTTTACTGGAACAGGTTTCGGACCGACTTACGTTCATCTTGGGGGTTGTTGGCCCTGTTTCCTATGCTATTCCCCTGCGAGCAGGAGAGTCTTGACATATTTTGCAATGTGTGCTGCCGGGAATTAGCCCTCAGCTTTTTGTCAAGGATTTGGGTGGCCTCAGCAAGACTTAGGGGTACTTTGAAATATATTTTAAGAAATTTGACTTTTTGCTAAGTATAATTCTAAGGAACAGCAACAATTATGATTTTTGCTATGGTTCCAAGTTCCCCAATGGAGAGCCCTCCTGCTCTTCGGAAGGGCGTTGTGAAATAAAAGCTCACTGCCGTTCCACTATGGGCTATTAGACCTTCAGGGTACCTTAATCTACCCTTAATAGTGTCCTAATAGGGAATTTTAGGGTCTAATAGCCCATAGTGGTTTGCCCGTCAAGGCAAGATTGTTTCATGAATCATGTTGTTGAACTACAGGGGCCGTGCCCAAGGCCTGCAAAACAGAAACCTTGCACCCAGGTTCATGCAGTTGGCAGGATCGGTGACGGTCAAAAGGATCTCTAGACCTCAAGGGCCGGGAGAATGCTTTGGGGTTTAGCATTTGGGACTCAGGGTTCGCAAGAGGAAACAAGGACATGTACACTGTGTCGCGCACTCTGTGTTGTACCAATGCCATAGGGCTTTTCTTCTATGTGGGGCTTCCCTGCCAAAATGCTCCAAGGAGCTTCAGATGGGAGTTTTGCAGTTTCGGTGCAGCGTTGACCTGTGAACTTGAGACACCCCCGTACCAACCAAATCCAATCCCTAAATCATCCCAATTCTCAGGTACGTCTTGGTGGGCCACTCCGAGCGACGTTCCTTGTATGGCGAGACTGATGAGGACCCAGGGGTCGAGCAACACATGCTCAAGTTGAGCGTCTTGGGGGTTCACAGTCTGCGGCTTGGGCTTTAGGAGTTGTAGGGTTCTCTTCTATGGGGCGTGTGGTTTGAGTTTTGGGTTCGTGGCTTCGAATGTTCGAGTTTTCGCTCGCCTTCCAGAATTTAGGGTTTGTCAGCGGTTGCATCTAAACATGTTTGGCATTGTGGATTGCCATGACTTGAGAGGTTAAAGCTTACAGCCTTTTGGCGTTGATGATGTTTAGGGTATGAGCCCGGGTAGTATCGGGCTCTGCATCCGAATGTCTGCTCGGTTGGTAGAATGAGTTCAGTCTGGGGTGCATCTCTGCTAGCTGCTAGCGGAAACTTGCACCGAAGCTCTGGTTTCAATTCCTTTCTACGGCTTCTTGGAGGGGAGCTTTTGCTTGCTGCAACTTGTCCGCCTTCTTCCGAGAAGGAAGACTGTTTTCTATAGTAGTTAGGCAATTTACTCGGTTATTGAGTGTTCAACACTGATGGTTGCTAGCTCTGAGAGGTGGCAAGACAAGAGCAGAAGCCCTCAAACTGCACAAGCCATGCAAAAAAAACTGTAAATTCGCCAGAGCCGTTCAAGGTAAGCACACTAAACTGGCTAGACGCTCCGAGAGAAAAAAAAAGTGGCTTCTTCACAACAAAAAATCAGCACCAACACCTCGCCAGCCTATCTCAAAACTCGAAAACCTAAAGAGGGCAGACGCAGATGGTGGTTGTTACACTCTCTTTTGCATTATCTCTCAGTTGCCTTTGGAAAAATACTCGAAAACCTTCAAGATTGTACCTGAGGCTCCTAAAGCCCAGAGGTGGCAACCCTCAAGTCTGCACCCCATAAATCCGACCCCAACCCAAAAATTGGGGGTACCCTTCAAAGGCTGTATAGGGGAGTTATATAGGGGTTATGTAAGGGGATATAGGGTTTAGGGTTTAGGGTTTCCCAAAGTCCCAAGAATAAGGATTATAGTGTTCTGGGATCTATTTTGGGAAACTACCATATACCCAAAGTCCTCAATGCTAACACCCCTAGCCCTAGACCCTGAACCCTAAACCCTAAACTCCGCATTCCCTTAAAACCCCTAAAGTTGAAGCCCCTGCCGAAAGGATTGCGCCGCCAAGACGAAGGTCCTGCAACTTTAGGATTTCCGGGGTTTTAGAGGTTCCCATTGGTTTAGGGTTTAGGGGTTTAGCGGTTTGGGGTTTCGGGGTTTAGGGTTTAGGGCTCAGGGGTTAGGGGTTTAGGGTCTAGGGTCCCTACTGACTCTATGTTTAGGGGCTATTATTATAGGATAATGGAATATTTCTATAATGGGTTATATAGGGATTATAGGGTAGATATTGGGGTTTAGGGTCTAGCGTTTGGAGGGGGGCATGGCTTGTAATTGGAGGTTCTCAAACTCGGGACGCCCCGCAGACTTTCATGGGGCAGCACGGAAAAAGAACGATGATTCTTAAAAGAAACGCCCCTGACTATGTAACAGGGCATGTAACACAAGCATAATAAGGCCAGCTAGCAGCACCACATGCAAGTGGTACGCCAAGTTTTTCCTACCTGCTAAGTCCCACGAAGTTCCAACTAAAGCCGCTTAGTATATGTTGGACAAGAATTGAAAGATTTTCTTCCACCCCGTATGAGTAGCATTTTCCCAATCTGGAGCATTTAAGATTATATCCTCCGTTTGGGCATGCTATTCTTTGCAAGAGGTACATAACTCCACTGGTTCAGCCAACTCATCTGGGATAGAGAGGCACTAGCGAATTACACCAGCAAAGATCCACACAGGCTGGGGACCTGACGCCTAGTTGTCCAGTGGATAGCCTTAAACCTTTTGGAGTCATATGGGTAGTTCCCAAAATTAGGGTCCCTTGTTGGGAACTCTAAACATTAGGTGCCGTATGATAATAGGGATCCAGAAAGGGACCATAATTTTCACAACCACCCATATAGCACCCAATATAATGATGCAAAAGGTAAACCTTGAAAAAGCCCTAGATACCGGATAACAGGGACGGGATATTCCCAGGTCTGTTCTTCCTCTTGCTTCCTGATCCTCCTGATGCTTCGCATCGTCCTTTTTTTGAGCCTGAACCTACGGTACATCAGTATTGTTACGGCCTGCAGATTTGGTGGGTACCTATGTATGTATGTCTGCATATTTGTTTGCCTGCGATTCTTCAGCATGCCGGCATCACTGGTCTCTTATGTCTTTGCTGCTGTCCATTGTGTTTTTGTTCCCCATCCGCTGCTTCGCAGTGTCATGCTTGCTGTTTCTCTTCTCATTAGCTATGAGGCGGATAATGTAGAAGCTTGTAGTAGTAACAACAGTAGCCGGTCATAGCCATCATAACTGTGGCATGGAATGCGCCCGCAAAGCCCTACTCCACTTGTTCAGGTCCCCACATTACCATACCTACAAACCCTATAGATTTGGCTTGTGGTTTTCTGTTCGCATAGGTATTCTAATGATTCGTGGTGAAGTCTGTAGGGTCAAACCCTAAACCCTATATTGCATTGTGCAGGCGGCCTTGGAGAAAGGCTGGGCTGCGGTGGAAAGGTTCAGGGTTTAGGGTGCGTTAAGTTAATGGTTCTTAGTAGGGAATAGCGGAATCTATTCTACAGGGATTATGTAGGCAATATCGGAACCGGTAAGTTAATGGCAAGAGCAGAGGCAACATGTGAGGGCTTGGGGTTGAAGTTGTCTTCTGCCCCGCCCATATTGCTTGGTATTCTTGTAGCTTCGCGGATGAAAATGTCGTGTTTAGCAGGTCGGGTTCCATTCAGGTTTTGACAGGATACTCTTGAATGAGACGTTACCCCAGACATTTGCGGCGATGCTGTCCTGACGCATTTCATAGTATAAGTATTCGCATTTCGAAATGCTTTGTGGATTACGCAGAAGCCTCACCGTACACAAAACGTCGAGCAGTTCGTTTGCCCCTAAACCGTTAACTCTGGACAGTAACCCTGCACCCTGAACCTTAGCCCTAAATCCTAAGCCCTAAGATCCGTGACCGTAAAGCGAAAGCCCTGAAGCTTAAAATTCAACAATGACCCCAAGCCCCAAGCCTTAACCATAAACCCTAGAGGCCCGTAATCGTGTACTTCTTGTGCTTCAAGCCCTTCCGCCCTGAGCTTGCATTTGCATACATGAGGAACCTGTAGGGCTAAAAGTTCGGGGATTTGGGATTCAGGGTCTAGGGCTCAGGGGTTTAGGGTCAAGGCTTGGGATTCAGGATTTGGGTTTCAAGGCTTGGGACTTAGGGCTTTACCATCTTCAGTTCAGACCTTCGTGAACAAGCATGATGGCACTCACTCAAGTCACCATCAAGTAGGGTAGGATGCCATGTTCCTGAATTGCTGGCGATCTGAGGAACAAAAATGTCAGTTTCTCAAATTGAGGCCTATATAGTCTTCGGTGGGGACTCCTGCAATCCTGCGGGCCCCAATTTTGAGAACACCCCCCCCCACATGCTCAAAATGATGATTCAATTTACCATCAAGCTGCCGCAGTTCGTTTGAGAGGTTTGACGGTTGTCTTCTGCATTGGAGAGCAGCTGTCGGATCGTTTCCTGGCGTATTTTGATCACAGGGCTGTGCTTGATTTCTACATTTTTTGCATGCCCCAACAATCGGACTCTGGAGCTTCATGATAGGGTCGGCTAGGGTTACCAAAATCCCCTTATTGCAGTATGAGGAGGTTAGCGGCCACGCTGGTTTTGCATACTCGCCGGGCTGGATACTTGAACTAACTGGTCCAACGGTCCCAATAGTGAAGCCTAGCCTTGTTGGGTGTCTTAGCTCTCTGGCGGCCGAATACGGCGGCTACCACATCTTCTTCATCTTCTTCCTTCATCTTCTTACTTTGCTACTGGTACCATTCTGATCATCTTCCTGTAACAGCAAGTGAAACATTCGGTGCTAACACCGCCACCCATGGTCACGTTGGCGCCCTGCCGTCGTACTTGTAGCGTAGTTGTCGGGGTCGTCGTAGTGGTATTGACTGCTAGTCGCAGTGGTGCAGTTTTCGAGGAACAGGCATAACAAGTTCCAAAATTTTAGTACCACGGGTCCTGCATGCAGCGCATGCGCCACAAATTGACAGCGTTCTTCACATGGATCCTGTCTTGAAGGGCTCCGGAGGCTGACTTCTTGACATGTCGCAACCCTTTGACTTGGCGTACTGAGCCCTTGCTGCTGTGTGAGTACTGGGCAGCAACACTTGGAAGTTCAGCAGGCATCTCCCTGTCATTGGCTGCAGAGTTCCGCAAAGTCATACCATATGTATTCTGAACAAATGTTAGTAGGCCACTTCAACGATATTCAGCATGAGCACAGCAATTAGCGGCCGACACTGTCGTTGCACTGGTCGTGGTCGTGTTGCTGGTCTTTTTTTTTAGCATGGCACGAGTTACAGAAGTAAGAACTGCGACAAAGGTGGCGCAAAGCAGAGATACTTTTTGGTCACAAAACGATGGCAAGCAGAGATTATGCTGACACTGTCTATGCTCTACTCGTGTTGGTGTCATATATCAGATGTGATTGCAAGGTCAAACGGGCAAGACGACCGAAGTGTGCGAGACCCAGATGAAGGCTGGCGGGATGCGGATTTTTCCTGGCTTTTCAGGCCCACCGGTCATAGAAGCTATCTGGTAGTTTCCGTACATAGGGAGACCCCACTATAGATCCCAACATAGTATAATCCTTCTTATGGGACCCTTAAAAGGTACCCCTAAGTTTTGGAAAGCATCCATCTATCGTTGCATCCTTTGGCAGCTCTCCTTGTCATTCCACGACAATCCTGTGACAGTTTAGACTTAGACCCTATGGCACTGTAGTTTCCATAAACACGAGGATCCCCCATATAGACCCGAATATACTACAATCCTTCTTTACAGGGACCCCGGAAAAGGGACTGCATTGTTTTGGAAACTTCCACATGGAACCGGTTATTTGCAGAACAGCATCACCCAGCGTGGCTCGCAGAATATGCGGGGACATAGCCCTCAGTGTCCAAGTACCCAAACAATGGGCTTTTAGGGTTTAGGGCTTAGGTCGCAGAGATCACGTTTCGAATGGGTTTTGGTACCTAAAGCCCTAACATTATGGAACTTGGGCCCTCAGGGTAAGAGATTACATTGCAGACCTTGCCCCTGACTAGCAGATTCACGAAGTCATCATTTACTACTCCCAAACTGCAAATGCTTTGTTTCGGCAGATTGCTCTAAAGGTCCGGGTAAAGGAGGGATCGTTGGAAACACACTTCCTTAAAGGGAGCTCCTAATCCAAAAAGGGAAGCTACCTTACGGCCAGTTTGAGGACAGGTACGTCGAACAGTTGCCATCTACAAGCACGATTCATTTTCTGCTACCTATAGTTATAGTCCCTTAGAGTAATCCCTAGAAAAAACCTTACAATACTCCCTATGAGAATCCCTATATAAAGCCCCCCATGGAAGGCCGTCATCCCTGTGATTTCGGACTGGTCAAAGATCGTCATCGCCTACGCATCTTGGCAGCCTTCCCGCTTTGCTGGGCAATTAAAAGCGACCTCACCCGACCTCACCCTAAATAGTGGTTTATATATTGGGATTAATGCCCAAATAGCCTTAAATTGGGAATTGAAATTATTCTAAATTACTGAGGGTTGCGATTTAAGGGTTCAGGGTATCCAGGACATCCCAGGTCCAAAAGCCCTTTGATTTCGGCATATATATATATATGTATATAATAATGTATAGCTTGAATCACATTAGGGGACCTAAGGTTTTGCAGGGTGTATTCCTTAGAGAAAGACGCTTGGAAGTCCTGGCCGCCCCCATCTCCCGCAAGGAAATGCCATGAAGCTCTCTTAGACCTGATATGAACTCGTTGAACAGCGGTTAGTAGCTAGCGGCGGTATCCCTAAAGCCTAAACCAATATAACCCTAATATTATCACAAAGTTACCCCAATAACCCAAAGCTCTAAAGCCACTCTTACCCCCAACCGCATCCTGTTCCCGATGTTTTGGATGAGGAGCCTGTGTGGGCGATTGGAACCGGAGTCGTGGCAACCCCTCTGCAGGCTCAGGAGACTCACTACCAGGCCCGGTTTTTCGGAGTTCGGGGTTTAGGATTTAGGGCTTAGGGTTTAGGATGTTTTGGGGCCCTAAGAGGTTACACAGGTTACCTGAACATGGCGACAGACCGCCAGTGCATGTTTAGGGTGACGCTCAACCTTTACCAAACGATCCATTCTGATCTTATGGATGTATACTGGATTCACAGAAGCATGAAATCTTTACATAAGCCATAATCTAAGCCCCTTAAACGGGGGCTATATAAGGGATTATGTATGGGACTACTATAGGTGTTATTAAGGGGGATACTCGGAGTTTAGACAAATCCTTACATGATGGCATGATGCCATTGAGCCAACTCTGGGCACTCGGTGAGTACATCTTCTGGTCCCAGCCCAAGCCCAAAACCCATACACGAAACCCCAAGCCCTGAGCCCCAAACCGAATCATCTCGAAGATCTACGTCTTTTTCCTGGGTTGCTGTTCAGGAACTTAAATTGAATTGGCATATTCTGGGCATATAGTAAGGAATCCTTGTTATAGTAACTTAATTTAAGTTCCTCAACAGCAACGCAGTAAGTCCCGACCCTTAGCCTGCCTACCTGGACCCCACAAAGCGCACCATTTTATGGCTACGTCTTTTGTTTTTTTTGGTAGCTCTCCGGACATGCAAGGGTTCCGTAAGGTCCAGGTAAACCTTGTGTCGCCCTAAACACGACATTCCAAAGCCAAGTGCCCTGAATCGCACACCCTAAACTCTAAACCAAGCAGGTGCGCCGCATGATTCGCGATGAGTGCGGCTCGGAGGTTGCTGTGCTCTGCCCGCACTCAGCTTCCATGGTCTTGGGTGTAGGGCTTGCATGGGGGGTAGGGCTTAGGGATGAGGATCTAGGGGGGGCCTTGAAGGATCCTAGTGATAAATGTGGATTGCAAAGGGATACTTAGGGTTTGGGGTTTAGGGTTGGAGCTACGGGAGATGGGGTTGTAAGTAGATTAATAATGAGGATAGCTGGGCTTCCTACAGGGGCTTGTAGGGGTTATTAACTTACTTACTAAGTCCTTCTGACCCTCCAGGTAGGTTGCCTTGAAAGCAGGGGTCACTTTCGGGGTGCGCAGGTAGCCAGTACCATCGCTTCCTGTCCATGTGCCGCACACATCCACCAGAGTTCGGCAAAGGGATTGTGTCCTTTTAACGACCCACGTCTACACAGGGGAGCTCAAATTTGAAACTCTTAACCTGTTTGTGCTTCTCAGCCCTGGACGCCGATCCCGGGCGCCAAACCACGAAGCCACAAACTAAACCTGCACCGCATCACCTACAAAGATCCGAGCCCACGCGCGAAATCTTAAATCCCATGTCCAATCCGTCCCCTCGTCCAGGATGCTGTCCGAATCATTTACGGCGGCTCTGCGAACGAGAAGAACTGCAAGGCTGGCTTTTAGAGTTCCGAGCTGATTGGGGGTTTAGGGTTGAGAGTGTGGGGTCGGGTTCAGAGCTTCCGGTTTACAATTTACCGGTTCCGCTTTACTTGTAGGAATGGCGGCTTCAGGCTTCCTTGAGTCGAGGTTTCAAAGTGAGTTGTTTTTGTTGAATTTTTTCGACGGACAACGCGCAGAAAAGCTCCAAATTCCGAGAGAGGTGGGTGTACTGTAGAGCCCGAACGAATATCCATATCATGGTTCTAGATTCCTCGTATGACTGTGGTATAAGGTACCTGGAAAAAACTCAAAGTTGTACTAAAATTAATTCAAGTACTCAGGCTTCTACAGTAGCCATGTGGCAGCTCTGTGGCCTTGTCTTTATGTTACATGGGTACCATAGCGAGCAGGATGGTGCTTGTTGCTAATTACAGTCCTCCTCATTATCGTGTCATCTCCAACTCAGTTTCCATTTCATTTTCTGGTTTTTTTGATTAGGTGCTCCATGTCAATAGGCCCTACATGGGTCTAGGGTTTAAGGTTTAGGGTCATTTGAGCCCCAGGTTTACTAGGAGGGTTGGGGGGACTCTGTAAGTTTACCTATAACCCCGTTAAGCCCCGCAATCAACTTAGCTATCCCCATCGTTGACTTACTTGCAGTCCCCGCGACCCTCCAAGTATGCCTTCCTTGGCCCCTTCATCCAATGAACTCCTACATAACCTTACTTTCCATTCTATCGTTCATGGGTTCCCCTACTTCTCGCCTCTGTACTACCCTCTTCCTCAAGGTTCCCCCTTAAATAACCTTAATTCTCTCTAAATAACCTTAATTAAGGGGGCGAATTTAGAATTTAGGAGGGTAGTACAGAAGGGGGGTAGAAGGCGAACCCATGTCTTATTCATGTTGTTTTCCACGTGATTGAGGTAGTAATCCATGTGCTATCTAAACGCAGACTCTAAACCCTCAAACCTATATCCTATATCCTAAACCAGCTAGGCCCTGGGTGACCTTCCGGACGTGGACGGCTTCCTCGTTGGCGGAGCCTCGCTGAAGCCGACGTTCACGGACCGCGAGAGGGCTCAATTGGCTTGGAGGGTTTACGGTTTATGGGCTTAAGTCTATTTCGGGCTTGAGAGTTTAGGATTTCACGCTTTACAGGCATTAGGGGTTAGGGTTTTAGGGCTTAAGGCTTTGGGGGTCAGAGCTTAGGGTTTTGAAAGGGTGTGGAGGGACTATGTGATGCTTTTCCTGCAGACCTTCAGCCGTAAATCCTGAACCATAGAACCTGCCAAACCCCAAATCCCAGATCTGAAAGGCTTTCGTCTCCGTTCGCAGGCTCACTTTCCAACTGATTTCTTACGTGCCTTCTTCTAACCAGGAAGCCATTTGTCCCTGTGAGGAGATTATCACCACCGCGCAGGTCGGCCACCAGAGCACAAGGGGAATCGGGTGTGTTACGGTGGGGTGCCGGGCTTGCTGTTCACAGTGGCTTAGCGCTCGCGAGGATTAATCAACCAAATCTTTCTCAGTGCATCGCCTCTACATGCTTAAGAGAAATCCTTAACTTATAGCCTTTAAAAAATTACACTTCATGGACAAGCTCAACTTTCTGCGTGACCTCATGTCTCCCCACCCCTTCTAATCATGGTATTACACTTTAGGCCATGCAGGGTTTTGCCCATCAACTGTCCGTCTGGCCTTCTGCAGCGAACTCAAATCTGAATTGGAGCCCTTACTGTGTGGTTTTTCTGAGTAACCCTAACTCCTAAACCCCTAAACTCCTCAAGTGTACTGTAGTATTACCCTAGGGAACTATCATGTTTCTTTTAAGTCATTGTAGTATCACCCTATGGAACTAGTAGAACTAGAGCAGGCCAGGGGGATTACAGCAAAACACATGCAGAGCTGGACGTTTTGGAAACTCTACCGAGAAAGTCCTCAGCCTCACCTACAGGTTGTATCAGCAAAGAGCTGTAGCATAAACTCCTTTAAAGGGGGTTTCTATCGAGGATCATTTGGGGGAGTATTAGAGTTCTTAGAGGGGTTATGAAGGGGAATACTAGGAGTTTAGACTATAGCTTCAGCGGGACCTGAACATATTGCAATCTCTATCTCTAGGCACACCCGGAAACGGGGCCCCTATTTCTTGGAAGACCCCATATGCACTTCAACATTTCAAGTAGACCCCTTCCGAACCCATCATACTCCATCACTCGCAGGCTGCGTTCAAGAAGTAGATCGATCCTGCATCTGCCTCTTGTTGGCATTTCCGAAGCGTCTGAACTTCCCAAACTGCATGCTAACAACATAGTTGCACTGTCCCAAAAGCTTTCAATACAAGAGTAAACCCTGAAATTCAGAGTGCGCATTGACTGGGGTTCGGACCCCTGAAGAGCATTGAGGGGCTCGTTGGTTTGCAGTTTGCAGCTATTCGCTGGAGTGGGGAGGGCAGCAGCCGTATGAACGGGTGGGGAGCACGTGAGCTAAGTGCCTGAACACCCTTGACCTCTGGAGCTCGTTTTACAATGAAGAACCTAGACCTTCCTCCTACCCTCTATTAGGGCCTAAGTACCCACTATTAGGGACCATATATCCCCAATTAAGGGTACAAGGAAGGTCCTGGAACATAAACGGCGTTGGCTTTCTAGGGCGGCAGGACTTGGATCGCAGCGTCCCATACACCCCAGTATCCTTGATATGGGGGTTTCCCAAAATTAGGGGTACCCTTTTGGGGATCCCCATAATAAGGACTAAAATATATTAGGATCTATATTGGGGTACCCTTATTTTGGGAAACTACCAAATTGATTGTCTTCTATAACAGTTTGAGCTGCACAGTTGCGCTGTTTTTGGGGTTTCATGAGTCTTTGCCCGCATCCCAGGAAGAGTCCTGCCGGTGATGCTGAGAGCATGCGCAGGCCAGGTTTATCTCAAAGAGCTTGTGCGTCTCTGTTTGTATGTTTCGAGGGGCCTGCCGTAGGAGCCTATCTCATTCTTTGATACAACTAGAATATACCCCAAACCCCATTCTAATTGTATAGGTCCTACGTGATGCTTCGGGGGCTGCTGTTGAAGAGTTTGCAACTGAGACGGGTTGAGCAGGTGGACGGTGTCAAGGTACCCTGTAATCGCTTATTGCCTGGCGGGACTTTCCTATCACTGTCATGTTTAGGGTGCCTTTTTCCAAATGTAGGGTGCCAACGAAACCGCTTTGGTAGAAGAGCAAACAAGCTGGAGGAAGGGGTTTAGTTTTGAGAGCCTGGAGCTTGAAGCTACGGCTTCAACCTGCTCTTTAAATCCCGAAGAAGCTCCGTTGACGCCCCAACTGCAGGATCAACTTAAGAATCCAAATGCGCATACCTCAAAACCATGCAGGCTCACGCCATTGGTAACCGTTGGTAGTAGCGTTTGAAGAAACCCTAAAGCCTAAAGCAGACCCTAAACGGCGAGTTTCTGAACTTCGTCCACCTTCTCTATAAGCCAAAATGGGCCATAGTATGTTATTGTCTAACTCGTCTAACTCCTAGTATCCCCCCCCCCCCGCATATGACTCCCTTTAAGGAGTTTAGGCTGTAGCTCAAACCGGTTTAGGGCCAAGCGCCCAGAGACCCGTGGGGCTTGAAATCTTCTCGGGCTCACAGGATGTCAGGTGAGCCACACGGTTTAGGGTTTAGGGTTTAGGGCAATATTTCCGACAAAATTTAATTGAGTGCACAGGGGTTCCTTATTAGGGATTTTAGGGACTATAGTAAACTACAAAGGGGACCACTGTTAAAGTCCCTTAAGAAGGTTAATCTTGACAGTAGCTCATGTAGGGCTTATGGGGATTTAGGCTACTGAGGGCTGCGGATTTAGGCTTCAGGGGCTCCAGGTGTTTACTTCGAGGTTTAGAGTTCAGACGTTTCAGGCGCTTGGGATTTGCAATTTCGGGAGTCCTGGTAACGGAGGAGCCTGCAATCCCGTACTAGTACCGCAACATCTACCTGCGATGGATAGAGGAGATCTTGCACCACTTACGATCCCCGATGTACGTACTGCAATATCTCGGGTGCAAAGTGTGTAAGGTTGTGCAAGATGTCTTCCTTCCACAATAGGATCCACAGGGGCACCTAAACCCTAAATCCTTCCCAAACCCTAGCCCTAAGCCCTAAGCCTTAAAAGCCACACCCCTAGACCCGAAATTCCTAAACCCAAACCCTAAATCCAAAACCCTAAACCCCTAAACCCAAAACCTTGTTTCGACATCTGCCAGGTTGCTGAGCAGAGACATCATGCCTGGCGTGGGGCTCGTGAAGACGGCCCTCCCCCGCTCCTCCGTCAGATCTGCTTTGTGTAATCCTGAGTCCTGACGAGTACCGCAAACCCGAAATGCCGAAAGTTGCCCCCAGCCCTCACTGCCAAATCCTACACCCCGAACTGCAGATGATTGTTAGCAGGAGGGGGTTCGAGTGAGTAGGTCCCATGACAGCCCGCAATTTCTTCGTTTTGTCCCTCTCTCTCTCTCTCTCTCTCTCTCTGTAGATCGCTGTCTTTCTGTCCTTGTCATCTTTCTCTTCCTCGTTGTAGTCTGTATGTATTATAGCTTTTATACGGAGCCCTCCATGAGTAAAGGGGCAAAGAGGACATGAACTCTTTAGTGCTTCCTGCAACTCCTACTTACGGCCGGACTATCATACTCTTGCTTTGGGGCTGTAGCAGAACATGTATGATTTGGAGTTCAAGAAGTCTCAGCTGTGAAGCCTACATCCGGGCTTTGAAAGAGGGATGGGGAGAGGACCATTCACAAGCTCATGCCCGCAAACTTCGTTTAACCGTCTCTCCTCAAGGGCGAGACAGACCGCCAAGTGCCGTTTGCAAACGTTCCTCGCAATAATGTCCACATTCTTCATGTAAGGGGGGTCCAGAAATTGCAGGTTCCTTGTAAGTTGGGGTGTATGAAGGGTCATACTCCCAACTAAGGAGTTCCTGGTACATAAGGCCTTTCCGCAGCGTAGAAGGTGAAGGTGTAGGC